CAGTCCCGGGGGTGATGGCTACTCCCAGCAGTACCTACATCTGTTAGAACTTGGTTTCCTTCTAGCATTAACCACCATTTATCTGTTTAATAATTTCTCACGTTCCCTGTTCAAGTTACTAGTTCAGTTTCTGACTAGGCAAGAGAGATCTGAAACAAATTCTGCCAATTGGAAACACTCCATATTAATTATATAACCGTTCTTATTAGTTCCTCTCTTTGTGAAATGTAAATGTAGGGTGAGCAAAAAAGGAAGCAAATTACTTGGTGTATACTGTAGTCAGTGACACTGACCAACTAATGAAGCTCATCACACATCCAAAAGTCAGAAGGAATGGGACACTGGTGATTGAGCCATAAGTTAAGTAATTTCCCCTTGACTTTCCCTTTTATCTTCAAGTGTACCCTTGCACACCTTCATGCTTGGAAAATCACTTAAATGTTCAATTTAGTTATACAAATGTAAAGTAAAAGACCATTACAGAAATAAAAACATTTGAGAGCAGTGATTTTTAAGGAGCTAATTCACTCTGTATAACAATGCAAAGGTTGTTTGTATTATAGGCAGAGTTGGTTCACTTGGACTGTGTTTTTATAGGAATGTTTGTTTTTTAAGTATGAAATTAAGCTGTGATGTGCCTACAAAGTGTTACTTATCATTATGGAAATATGCTCTTTGTTGAGCCATTATTGAGCACAAAGGAGCTGTAACCAGATTTAGTACACCTACATTTTCACTTCATAATGTACAGAAATAGTGTACAAAAGAACTAGGCAATGCTGGATCAAGTTAAACCTGGACTGGACTATTCTTTCACATATTATTATTTAAAATCAAATATATAGGACTTTAGGACCCATAATGATACCAGATTATTGTATTATGAGACCGTTCTATTTATGTTCCTAAGGCAAATACTCCTAATTGGTAGGGAGTAAGTTCTCCCCATAAGCCAGTGCATGGCCTTATTTTCAGTCATCCTGAAAAGATGCAGATCATGGGACAGAAAGGCCTAGGAGATGGAAAACACGTTCCTCTATGTAGGCCACGATATCCTGGAGCCTTACTTCAAGCAATGGTGTGGAGTACATTTAAGTGCAGGTCTAAGAGGCAGAATTTTGAAAACCCTAGTGTTTTTCACAAGATGCCAGGGATATAGATACAAAGGAAAAACTTGTTTAAGAAAATCTCCTTCAATCTGTATAACAATAACAGCTAATATTTATATTATATTTAGGGTATTATAGTTATAGTATGGCATATAATGTACATTGCAAAAAGTATAGTGTAATTATATTATATTAAGCTCTTAACATTATACTAAGCACTTGCTTTTAATATTCTACTAAGCACTCGATTAAATGCTTAATCACTTAGGGGCACCTGGGTGGCTCAGTCACTTACGTGTCTGATTCTTGATTTCGGCTCAGGTCATGATCTCACAGTTCTCGAGATCAAGCTCCGTGTTAGGTATGCGCTGGCAGCATGGACCCTGCCTGGGATTCTCTGTCTCCCTCTCCCTCTCTGCCTGCCCCCTACCACTTGTGCTCTCTCTCTCTCAAAATAAATATTTTTTTAAACGCTTAAATAATTTATACTGACAACAAACCCATGAGGTAAACTTAAGTGTCTCATTATCTACATTTTATAGCCATCTTATCTGGTATCCTGTGTAAATTTTGGTAATCTAAACTCTGTTCCAGTGAATTGAAAGAATGGATTTATGTCCATGTTTGGACCACTATGGTAACAGAGAGCACAGAATGCTCCCCTAACCCCCAGAGCAACATGATTGTAGCAGCTGATCTCAAAAAAGCAAAAAGCAATTAATAGCCAATAGAGGAATTCTGAGCAAAGAGATTCATATTTGAAACTTCACAATCCAGACGACAACTAAAGGTACAGATTGTATCCTGATCGACTGCAGTTTCCATGAGAAAAACTTCTTCCTTTGACTTCAGAATAAACCACTAGAGAGAAAGGAACTTTGTAAGGGATGAGAAAGGAGAAAAGTCCTGCTAGCGGGAAGGTGCGTAGATGGCGTCTCTAGCAAGCTGATATTAAGTGGTCATCACTGTAGATAATTTGTGTGTCTCTTACTGGTACATTGACTAGTCTGCTGGGCAAACTGCCATTTAAATGATTTCTCTAGCTGTGATAATTAAGCATAAAAATCCTACCAGAATATACTTGACTATTGTCTTTATTGATTCCATAACCATTCTCAAATGCAGGTTTGGAGATGCAATATTGTGCCATGGCAGAAACACAACAAGACTTGTGCTCAACTCATGTTATTGGAATCCACCTACATTAAAATCCTCATCACTTTCTAAATGTCTGCATTTGTTATCAAACTTAACCAAATTGGCTATTAACTCATCCTTCCTGCTGATAGGCCAGATTAAAAAAATTTTTTTCTCCAATTACAGATGTTTCAAATTATCATTTAAAAAAACTGAAAAAAATACAAGGAAAAAAATCTCCCAAATCCACAATCTTGCTAACATTGTTATTTACCAATTTTTATTTTCCCCTAGGAATATATGTAAGAAAGAATGTATATATGTATTTGAAAACATATGTGTTTTGTTTTAAATATGATTTGGAACACACTATATATATAGTTTTCTATCCTGATTTTTTTCATACATCAGCAGCATTTTGCCATGCTAGTAAAGCTTTTTCAAAAAGTATTTCACATGGTTATGGAATAAGACCATACCAGCAAATTTAACCATCCTTCAATTGTTGAGCATTTACTTTCTTTCTGGCTCTTGACAAATATTTCCAAATGATTTTTCAGAACGAATTTCACTGTCCCCCATTCAGGACAATACTACTTCACTGTACCCTTTCAAAAACTGAACATTTTTATTAGGAAATTTTTGTCAACCTGACAAGTGAACAGTGACTTTCCTTTGTGTTTTAATTTGTATTTTTTTAGATTAGTGAAGCCCATTTTTTAATGTTTTAATCATTTGCACTGACTCTAAGGATCGTTCATATCCTTAACTGAGTCCAGATCTACTTTTAATAGAGGTTTATAAAATGTCTATAGTTGCATTAATTGTGGTGTCACATGCAGTTGTAAAAAAATAATATAGAGAAATCACTACATGTATCCTTTCCCAGTTTTCCTCAATGGTAATATCCTGCAAAACTATAACACAATATCACAAACAGGATACTCACATTGACACAACCAAGATACAGGTTTTCCATCACCACAAGAATCCATTCTCTACTCCCTGATCCCTGGCAACCATGCAATCTGTTCTCTGTTTCTTTAATTTTGTCATTTCTAGAATTATACAATATGTAAGCTTTTGATACTGGCATTTCAATTCAGAATAATCTTCTGCAGATTCACTTAATATGTGTGTGTCAATAGTATGTTCCTTTTTGTTGCTGAGTAGTAGTCCATAGCTTTCTTTAAACATTTATAGTTGAATTTTAAAGATTATTTCACTAATAAATTTGCTTGATTGTGGGGACTGAAAGAGGGATAGAAAGTATGGTTGCTATTCAATAAGTCATTCAGTCATTCCACCAATATTCACTGATTGCAAACTAATAGGCCAAACATATCCTTTATGCACTTGGTTACAAAAAACGACGAAGACCCAAATAAGGTCAAAATTATTTAAGAGGCAGTTCTAAAACTGAAACCTAGGTCGGTCTAGATTTCAGGAAACAAGAAAACGAATAGCTCAGAAACGATTTTTTCATTAGTAACAATTTTCCAAAACGTAACAATTTTCCTAGATTAAATTACAACAGGCTAAAAATAGACATAGTTTTAAAAAAGCACTTTATGCAATGGACTGGGAGTTTACTAATCCACGCCTCAGATGCGATTTTAAGGCCCAAATCAAAAACCAAGTTGAACAGGAACATTTGAGAATGCAGACCAAGTCGCGTCAGAGTAGCTATCTCTTCGCATCTACTACAGAACCCAGCAGCATGCTTGGATTGGCAAGGCGTGGATTGATGTCCCTGAAAAACCATAGCCCTCGAACTTATTTCCTCTGGACCACTACCACCTCTCCGAAACGATCTGAAATTCTGATTTTAAACAAAACAAAAAGAGGCCGGTAGGGCACCATTAAAAAGTTTCTCTACAATACTGACAGTACGGAGATAGAAACGCAAACTAGAGACCAGAAAAGAAAAAAATTCCTGGTGCATTCAAAACTATTTCACTCAGTCGCCTGACTCTATTTGCCACTTATGGTGCAATATTAACTAAACCTAAGCACACAACACACAGAGAAGTGCCCCTTCTCATACCCGATGACTTCTGGCCTTGGGCTCTAGGTAAGCCGCTCACAAGGCTTTGGTACAAAGTTCAAAGGCTGAGCCTTGACGGTTGCGACGCGCGGAGACGCTCGGGACCCAGACGCGGGAAACGCAAGGAGAAAAGGAGACTTCTAGTTAGGTCAAGGTCCAACAAAACAAACATCCACACCCAGGAATTGAACTAGCTCCTAGGCAGAGGCTGCGGACGCGGGAGCTTGTGGAAGTGACGTCAGAACCGGCGGCCGGAGGAGGCGGGGCCGCAGAGGGAGGGCACCCTATTGGGGCCCGGGAGAGGGCGGGGGTGTGGCAGCGTCGGCTGCGAGGCGCTGGCCTGGGTGCTCGGGAGGGCGGGGTCTGGGTGCGCGACTCGCGGGGACTGGCTTCCTTCAGCGGCTGGAGGCGGTCACTTGTGCTAGGCTGAGGTCCTGAGGCGAGCGAGGGGCCATGCGGACAGCGAGGGAGTCCAGATCGCGCAGCCCGGCACTCTTCCCTCGAGCGGCAGCGACTCGGTGGCTGCTGGAGTAACCGCTGCCTTTGTTCCGAGCGCCTGTCCCAGTCTCTCACGCCGTTGCGCGCCGGCCGGCCCGCCCTTGGTCCCCGAAGCCTCATTCGGCTCGTGCCGCGCGGATGCGGCTGCCGGGCCTGAGTGTGGGCTTTGAGCGGGAGGAGGAGGAGCGGCGGCGCCTGGGCGGCATGCGATGGGGAACTGCTGCTGGACGCAGTGCTTCGGGCTCCTCCGCAAGGAAGCGGGGCGGCTGCATCGTGTAGGAGGCGGTGGAGGGTAAGCCCGCTGGGGGAAGGGCCGAGCTCCCACTGGCTCCTCCCATTCTGCCCCTTGCGGGGAACCCCCTTCACTGTCTCCGTTTCCTCCCTCCCCCTATGTCTTGAAGTAGGCCGGGAGCCCCTCAGCCCGGCGTCGAGCGGGCTGTCGTAGTGGAGGCCCTGGTCGAGAGGTGTCCCCCAGGGAAGAAGCTAGAGAAGGGGGCGGGTGTCGCTCTTGCCGCCTTCAGCAAGACTCCCTCCGGGCGCGATGTCACGCGGGGAAGGAGTGGTAGTAGGCGTCTTCTCTGGGAAGCTATGGGGTACTCTCTACGAATGGGCAGTAGAACAGGCTTCACAACAACCCGGACACACCCTACGTTGAGTTTGGGCTGGTGCCAAGGGTAATAGCTCTGTATTTGATCCTCCCTTTGGCTGTGACAGAGCCGCTGAGAATCTGGCTCCAGAAAGTTGATATCTCAGAGGGATTGTTAGTAGAAGTCATTTGGATGCTGTAGGTAGTAAAATAAGGTTCCAGACATTGAGTAACTCTTTGACATGTACAAAGACTTGCCGAATTGCTGGGTTCCCAATAGGCATTCGGATTCTTGGTACTGATAACAAGAGGAGCAGTGTGTGGCTTTTCCGTATTAATTCTTTCGGTTATTTCCAGAGGAATGCTACACCCTGATTGCTACCTATGAACTCTGGAATACTGAGGAAATCACAGTCCTTCTGAACCTCACGTCTCTTGATCAAAACTGGCATATGCATAGGTTTTTCTACTCACACCATCCATGGAATACTAGAATTTCATTATTCCATTTTTGTGTTTTTATTTCTTACGGTGTTGGAAAAAAATTAGAACAAACTCCTTTGAAGTTGGCTTTGTTGTTGTTAAATGTTTCCCAGAAATTCAAACTTAGAATAGAAAATATGAACCAAGACGCTTTATGTAAGGAATAAGACTTTTTGCACTTTATGGAACAGATTGCTAAATTTTCAGTCTCTGTCTCATTGAACCAACATTATTAGGTAATAGGGTGTTCTGAATACACGAACGGGAAGCCACATGATTTATAATTTGGATCTTTTGGCGATGGAGATCTTATTTATATATGATTCACTCATTGGTTCGTCAGGTGCATATTCTTTGTGTTCATTGCATCACCTCACTGATACATAGTAGCCAAGGTTGTGCACTAAGTAGTCTGAATGGAAAGGTTAGGATTTAAAGATTTTGTGCCTAGTTTAGTATCTTGGTTTCCCTGACTTAAGGGCTATTACTGTCAAAGGGGAACATGACAGCTGTTTTTATCATGTCAGACATAATCCTGTAATTTACTCCTAATTTTTGTGTGCAAGTGCACCAATATAGTTAAATATGCTTAACTAGGTTTGAGTAAGGACTGGAAGCCACAAAATCTCTGGCTTTGTTAATATTCTGTTTGTATTTGTGTTGTGGTGTGTTAAAGTCTAATTGTAGAAATAGGGTCTTATGATCTAATTGGGTAAGCAGAAATCATTTGTATTTGATTTTGGACTACACTGTGGTGTCTGGAGTTTTTGTTTTGATCTTTCATTATGATTTTACAAACTAATTATGTTTTCCTTAGAGTGTAGCATTAAAATTGTAGATTTTACTCCCCAAGCACCTAAGCTTGGCAGCATAGGGAAGGGGCTGGGGGAAATCAGTGAAATCAGTGTGTTAATTGTTGGTTGATATGCCATAAAAACATAATGGTTTGATCTGTTTTCCTCTGTTATGGGCAAAACTCCTTGAACAAGCAAGTCCTATTGAAGGAATGAACTTCTGTGGGTGTGGACACTGTCATCTAAAACCATATAATGGTGATATCAATACTTTTTCTATCAATCCATAAACGTAGATTTGGACAAGACAGTTCCCTTATTTGAATATACTGATAATTTATTGTTTTACATTAATTTTCACATTGTTTTAGAAGCTTCTAGTAAGCATGCAGAGACAAGTGGATGTAGCTAATTGTTATTTAGAGAATAAAGTTGCACTTTGCCTCTCGTTTTAGTTGCTTTTTTTTAATCCCCTGGTAATTCTGATTTTCTTTTTGGTATAGGTTTAGATAATTAACTAATAGTTCATCTGAAGATGAAAAATTTAGAGAGTGATCACAAAAACTTGATTTAATTTATATTTGTCACTGTAGTTGTCATAGGTAGGAAAAAACTGGGCTTTCTTAGACTGTTTTAAGCTGGACATCACAAGGATGCTTTATGACCTAGGGCCTTAGCCTCATAGATTCCCCAAGGGTATCTCAAAGTCCGATCATTCAGTATTCATTACCCAGTTTCAAAACCAGAATACCACTGATTTTGTTTATAAAATATTAGGGAATTCTAGTATTTTATATTCTAAGATAGCTGTCAACTAGTCAAAATATTAATATCAGCGTTAAGATATGTCATAAATATTGCTACTAATAAAATTATTTGGTGATTAAAGCAGAGGGAGTAAAATATCTTTAAGGAATAAAATTTAGACATCTTAATGAGTCACCCTTTTTCACTGTAGGAAGTTTTGCCCACCAACACATTCCAGAGGGCTCCACCTGCTGGTCAATTCTTGGGCAGTACTGGAAATCTTTTTTGTATGTACTTTTAGTGTTAGTTTCTTTCTCAAACTGAAGATCCAGTTATGTTTTGTTGTGTTATATTTTAATTACCATTTTTATCTTGCCATATATTTCCGCACAGTGGTTCCAGTTAAGATGTACAATAGGTTTTTTTTTAACTATTTTTTAAAGTGTATTTATTTATTTTGAGAGAGAGTGAGAGAGAGTGCATGCACAAGCAGGGGAGGGGCAGAGAGGCAGAGAGAGAGAATCCCAGGCAGGCTCTGCACTCTCACCATAGAGTCTGATGCAGGGCTAAGACTCATGAATCAAACCATGAGATTATGACCTGAGCTGAAATCAACAGTTAGATGTTTAACCCACTGAGCCACCCATGTGCTCCAAAATGTGCTGTGGTTTTATATAAAGGTATGATCATGTTTTGTATCCTTTATATTTAATATTTGTTGGCCTTTTGGCTTCAGCAACAAAGTTGCCTCAATTCAGGCAATAGTTTACAATGATCAGCTGTTTCCTTTCCTGGTAAAAAATATTTTAATAATAGCTGCCAACATCTGATTACTTCCTATGTGTGCAGGCTCTGTTCTAATAAATTTACATTATCTCATTTATTCCTTACCACAGTCTTGTGACAAAGGTAAGTACTATTACATACATTACAGATTGAGAACTGAAGTGTGGCAAGTTTATCTTACTCAAGATAGCTAAACTGGGATTTAGCCCAGGTCCCTATGAATTCAGAGCCTTTACTCTTAATCACTAGTAGCTCACGGATTTTTATTTTGTAGGTAATGTATGCATATATCTTAACAACTTGACTCTTTATTCTGTATGATAAACTGTTCTTGAAACTATGCACTTGACCTCTGCAACATCACTTTTATTTTCCTGCTTCTGTGCTGGCTGTTCTTACTCTGCCTGTTAAGTATGGGATTTTTCTCCTTGTTTTCCGTGCTTTATTTAGTTCTATTTACACATAAACCCACCCCTGAAGAAATTTCATCCATTCCTATGATTTCCCAACCACCAACACTTCCAAATCTCATGTCTTCTGAACAGACCTCTTTTCAAAGGTTCAGCACTGTATTTTCAGTTGCTAAGTGAACAGATACACTTGGATATGTGAAGTCTCCTCAAATCAACCTATCTAAAATATCTAATATTGCAGGAAATATCTAAAATAGTATAATTTCTTTCCCCCAAGGTTTCTTCTTTCACTGCTTTATGAATTAATTCCTTTAACAGCTGCATTCACAGTTTTCCAAGCCACAGACTAAACTTTACAGTCTTCTACCTCTGTCTCATCAGCTAAGTCAGTCTCTTCTTTATACATATTGAATCCATTTCCTTTGTTGGTACTTTGCCTTAAACTTTGTCTTTTTTATCGCCAGGTCACTGGCTTCTTGATGGTTCTCCCTGTTGTATGTATCTGTCATACTTCAGTCCATCTTCCCTTTTTGTCATTGGAGTTAGGCTTTCTAAAATTCATACTGGATCATGCTAAGCCCTTACTTAACCACTTCCTGTGTGTCCTATTTCCTACAGCTAAATTGCTCAGCCTTTTTCCCCTTCTCTGAGAGATGATGAGATGCATGGCAACAGCTCAAATGTGCAACATAACGTCTGCTCAAGATTATATGTAGTCTCTGCATTTGCGTAAAGAGTGTAATCTCAGTATTTGTTCTCTCACTCAGAAGATAATATCAGAATACAAATCAGTGAGAATAATATAAAAAGGAAAACAATAAATCTAATTTCAAAAAACAACTCATTCATAAGCCTTAATATCTTAACTTTTTTTGAAAAATGATAACCTTCCATTGAGAGTAGTATCAAATTTAAACTCCCAACAAGATAATTTTAATCTATTTTACCAGCCTAATTGTGTTTTCCAGTTATATTTTTCTTAAAATATGCATTAAAATTGTAGATTTTACTTCCTGCATGCATGACCTTGGCAGCATAGGCAGGGAAAACCAATGAAAGTATTCTCTGCCATTCTTCACTTGCCACATCCCCAAATTCCTAGATACTAGATGGACTATATGCATTGCTGTTTTCTTAAATTACAGTGTTCTCTCATCCTTGCCTTTGTGTGTGATATTTCTTCTTTTCCTGTTCTTGGTGAGCTTTTACTTATTCTTAAGTATTACTGTCTTTTTTTTTTTTAACGTTTATTTATTTTTGAGACAGAGACAGAGACAGAGCATGAACGGGGGAGGGGCAGAGAGAGAGGGAGACAGAATTGGAAGCAGGCTCCAGGCTCCGAGTCATCAGCCCAGAGCCTGACATGGGGCTCGAACTCACGGGCCGCGATATCGTGACCTGAGTCGAAGTCGGACGCTTAACCGACTGAGCCCCCCAGGTGCCCCAAGTATTGCTGTCTTTATGAAACCTGCCCAGCCCCCTG